CTCATCAATAAGCAATATTAACTTGAAAGTAATATTGACGGTATACAATTTTAAAATAAATAACATATAATATAATTAATATAATTATAAAAATATATTTATTATATTCTTATTTTATATTTTTAAAATAAAAGATAAAAAAATCTATTTTAGATTACTTAATAAAAATCTCTCTCTGAGTCTCTCATACATTATCCTTCCCTAATATTTAATTACTTAAATTTAAATTTTTTTTATTTTTTAAAAGAAAGATTATCACTAACATATATGATGATTTTTTTTTTTTAAAAAAAAAAAAGACTCAATGAAGAATTACAAGGTTTTGGGATTTGTGGGACGGACGTGCAATCGAAGAAGCACCCAAAAGTCTAATACTACTAAAAGCCAGACTGGAACTTAATTTAACACGACGGTGGAGGCAGCGCCGCGGTTTAATGAACCAAGAGCCATTGTTTTTGCCTTCTTTTTTTTTTTTAACATTGAAAGTGAAATTGTAATCTCATACTCTAAGTTAAAATGAGAAATTTCTTACAAAGTGATAATAATCACTGGGCCACAAAGACTTCCTCAGAGCCATTGCTTTTGTCTCCCGTGCATGATTCTCACATTTCTAATTTCTTGGGCAACAAGATCCTTCTTTTTTCATACGCACGGAGTATTTAATAAGTTATCTTTTAATTTGTGATTCTGTGATGTAGCGAAACTGAAGATTAGAAAAAAGATCAATGATTTATTGGTTCGAGTAAAACAAATTTTATTTTATTTAAATAAAATTTTGAATTCAAATTTTGTGAATGAAAAAAGAAACGTTGAAAGAGTTTATTTTTTAATGAGATTTTATGCAATTCGATTTTAAAATAATTAAACCAATGTAATTATCAAATATTGAAAAATTAATTAAATAAAAGAAAAAGAAAAAGAGAAGTATAGAGCAAAAGAAATAAGCAATCACGGGACACTTTGCCTTTCACAACACCCAAACTCTACACCCCGTTGACATTATCTAAGTTATTAAACTAACAGTTATGTTATAATTATAATATTATATTAAAAAATATTAAATAAAAATATAATATGATATTAATTAAATATATAATATTATTAATAATATTTTAAATACAAAATTAATTATATAATAATATATTATATTATAAAATTATAATATAAGCTTATCACCTCGCCCCGCGGGAGCCCAGATAGAAGAGAGAAGGATTTATTCCATGATAATTGAATGGTCTGCATTATCTCTTTCCTGTGTTGGGCGGACATGACAAATTATACGGACCATATTTGTCTATTATATTAAGGGCATTATTATTCTTGTATTAAATGTTACTATGGCCTGTTTGGTATAGTGATTTTAGAGTAACGATTAGCGGTTTTATCTAAATCGTTAAATATAGGTGTTTGATAAATTTACATATTTCGAACCCGTTATAAATAAAATATTTGGTAAAATTTTTATTTAGCGGTTTAAGACTAGCGGATATTAGTTAGAATCCAAATCGCTAACGAATTGAAAAAGCTAATTTATGTAACTTTTTGTACCGGACCGCTAACGGATTGAAAAAGTTAATTTATGTAACTTTTTGTACCGAACCGCTAACGGATTAAAATT